AACTTCTCTTAAAGAAAAGATTCATTTTTTTACCCATTTTAGGTAAAAGTGGCCAAGATTTCTGGTGCTTTGGAATATTGCATTTTTTTTCAAACTGGGGTGAAAGAGCCCCCAAAATCTAAAACAAATGAAGATGTAGAAGCTATTTTATTGATGTTGAAATCTTTACGAGCTGAGTGTGAGCAAGGAACTCAAAAGTGTTACAAAATAAAGGGTGAAGAAAATGGGTTTCAGGAACAGTCCAACAGGAGAGTGATGAACTTCCCCTATTGCCAGAGGTCAAAAGTTGGAGGAAGCATCAGGCAGGAGATGAGTAAGCTGAAATAATGGAAAACAACATTTTTCTAGTACATTTTGTCCTATTTTAAAGGCAAATCTTGTCAATTTAAGCATAAAGACAGAAAGCCTGCTCACTTTGCAGCACCAAGAATCTACAAAATATTTTTTTAAGGTGATCTGGGCAAAGGAATACAAGAAGTTTTCTGTGTGTGAAGGGTTTGTCACCCCTGAAATCCAACCTCCATTAGAGAAAGGGAGGGTTAAAGGGTGGAATTTTTATTCTGTATTTGTGTTCTGTGCTTTTCAACTCGGGCAAGTGCTTGAAATAATAGCGTGTGATGCTAAAACATGTGGTAGGAAGGGACTCAAAGAGAGTAAACAGGCTGGTTTTTTTTTTAGCTTTTGCTTCCAGATGGCTCATTTTCTCATCTGATCCCTTGTAAATCAACGGGAGATGTTTTGGAGAGGGAACATTAACCTCTGGATTTAGCGGGTGCTGTGTAATGGTTCAGAAAACCTGCTTGGGGGGGGGGGCCTGTTTTATCACTCACTGATGAATGCAGCCTTTGTTAGCTGAGATTCTGGAATAAATGTGTTGATAGGGATGAATATATGGATATAGATTCATGGGAATAGCAGGATAAATATGGATGGATTGGGCGAGAAAAATGTTGAGGTCGTAAAAGCCCCGCGGGGGTTCCCGCGTCCATTGTCACCTCGGGGGGGGTGGTTTATTCCCTAATTTCATGGGTTTTTTGGGGGTTGTTTTACAGCTGAGAACTGCTCAGGCTACTGCACATGTGCTCACTGCCTGGAGCAGCCTGGCTGTGGGTGGTGCACGGATCCCAGCAACACCGGGAAGGGGAAATGCATGGAAGGCTCTTTCCGGGGTCCCGTCAGGATGCCGAGCCCGTCCACGGCAGGGAAGCAGAGCCTGGAGCCCGTCCTCAATGTCAGCATGTGCCCTGTGGAGAACAGCTACAGCTGGTCCTTCATCCAGTGCCCAGGTAAGTGGCCAGGCTTTCATTGGCCAACCTTGCAATTAAATGCGAGGGGAGAGAGTTTTGAAGTCTTTTTGGGTCTGTGTTCCTTCCATGAATAGGAGAGCATGGAAACAGGA